AAAAAAAAAAAAAAAAAAAAAAAAAAAAAAAACAGAAAAAAAAAGGAAAATAAAAAAGTTCATTTCAGAATGCAATTAATATTTTCTGCAAGATTTTAACCATGTGGGAATAAAGAGCGCATGGGACACAAATAAATTGCTGTGTGCCTTTTTGATGACTATTTTTTCAATGGTTTTGTTGTATTTCAGATAGGTGTGACTGTTATTTACATTTCACCCTCACGTAGGAACACTGTAATCAGCGGCAGACCTGATCGGCAGTATTGAACATGAGAGGAAAAATGAGCAGCTATTTTCCATCTGTACCTTTTGACCGTATTCAAATTGGGCAAAACATGTCTAAAAGAGGAACAGTGCTGTCCTTGGATGACGCTGCCCGCCTGACACAGGTCCGTTCTGCTCCAGCAGCTGTACGCTGTTGTAGGCTGCTCTGGGGCTGCTCCAGGGGAACCTCATTTGCCTGCTTCTGACAAAGCCTTTGTAAAGGGTATTCCCCAGGTGCAGCAGCAAATCTGAAATGGAAATACCGGCAGCAGAAGGAAAGCCTGCGCACAGGGCATGGTAGATGTTAGTGCTCCCAAAGCTTTACCTACAGGAATCAGAAATAAGCATTAACAGAATCAGCATGTTTAGGAAGATAAAGGGAAAGGCTCTGGGTGTTCTAATCAGAGGCACTCACTCAGAAATTGGTTTTGAAAAGGGTTATTTAAACAAAAAACAGCTTTTAAGCGCCTCTTTAAAAACAATCCAAAAATCTCGCTTAAGTGAATCTGAAAGATGTGTAAAAGCTAATATGCTTTACATCATTTGTTGCTTAGTTTGTTTTGTTTTTGTTTTTCTTTTTGTCAACTTCAGCAACAACAGAATTAATGTGTTTGTTTTTTTTTTTTATCAGTTCTCTTTCAAGGTTCTTGTCCATTGGTGTAACAAGATTTGTATTGTCCTTAAATACAGTTCAGGCTAATGACTGTCTCTATCCTTTTAGATTAAATGATAGAAATTAAAATATTTTCACTTCTTTAAAACTTGTCTTTACTAAAACAAAAGTAGAACTGATTAGACAGTACCTGAGCCATAATGACAAGACTCTGCTCTTTTACCTGGCATTGGCATTCCCTGGACAGAGAATTTTAAAGCCGATTCTCTCTGTGAACTCATTTTTAAAATTACAGTTTTCAAGATCTGACAAAACATTTCAGATTATATTTTTAATGCCATTTCATTCTGACAATCCTAATAAAACAATAGCAAGGTCTGAGGCTGCTGCTACCAATGCATCAGAATCGCTGAGGAGATTGAGCTCCCCAAGAGTTCCTTGAGTGAGCTGCCTGTCGTTGTGACCATTAGTGGTTATATTGGCCAGCTCAGATTCTCATCTAGTCTGGAGATTTAAAAATATATATATTTTTAATACTCTCTTAAGGGAAGCAGTGAGCTCTACAATTCAAGAAACAATAGCAGACTATAGTAAAAAAAAAAAAAAAAAAAAAAAAAGAAAAAGAAGGCTAAAGACACACCTCCTCTGTCAGCCCATTAAAACTGTGCTATAGGGAGCCACCCTATGTGCAATCAGATCTATTTTTATTTTTATGATAACTTCAGACAAATACAGGTATGGTTCTGATTTTGTTTTCCCACACATTTCAAGAAGAGGTTTACAGTTACATATATATATATATATATTTTAACCAAATGACATAAACCTAACATATTCCACATTCATTTATATTCATATTTCTTTATCTGAGAGCACAACAATAGCTCCATTGTGCAGCACAGCACTGCTCAGATGCAGAAAGAAGGCTGCACTCAGGCTTCCAGAGTGGTCCAGAAATACAGTGGTGACACCATGCTGGCTCCAGTAAACAGGAAATCAAACCAGGATGTAAACTGGACTGCTTCCATATTCAGTAATGCTCAGCTAAAAATAAACAGCTTGAATAGAGGTAAGAAAGCCAATTCTCTCTGTGAACTCATTTTTAAAATGACAGTTTTCAAGATCTGACAGAACGTTTCAGATTATATTTTTAAAAAGTCTTAATGTTGACTTATGAATATTTCTGTGATGAGATTGCACTTATATCCAGAGGGGCTTGCATGAAATGGAGAAGAGAAAGCCTTTTCTTTCAGAGAAAAATAAGGCCCTGGGGACAGAAGTTAAAGATGGGCATGACTGCCCTATACACACATCAAGGTATTTTTAAAAAGAAAAAAAAAAAAAAGAGAGAGAGGATTCTACTTCAGCTATTAGACAACGTTGTCATGAGAATAAATAAATTCATTGAGAATGAAATCTAGAAATGGTTAGGTATCTTATTCCAAGAAGAATGAGGAGTTCTAAAGCAGCCCATGCAGAACGGCATCACACATTTCTCATGGCACCCCCCACACTCTTCATTTCCTTATGAGTTTTCTGATTTCTGACTGTGCCTCTCTCAGAAAACAAGTCTTTCAGAAAAGGAGTGACTCTGCAGCATGTATTTAAGCAGCTGTATGGGAACTGCTGAATCACGGCCTGAACCTCTGATGGACCACCTGAGGTGAGCAATGTCAGCCCTGGGAGCACAGGTGAAGGCAATTCACCTCCCTACCAGAAGGGGTGGGGCCCGACTGCGCCTCTCCTGACCCCATTTAAGAGCTGACTACCAGTAGGGAAGGATCTCTTTTGGAGATGGCTTCTCTTGGAGTTTTCTTAGAGAGCCCAGGATGATGGTAAGCTTTCCATCCATTCTTCTTTGATGTGGTAACTAGTTTAGCCTAACTACCTCGTTATTTGGAGAATTGAATTAAATTGTTAAGCTGAATCACTCTTTCTTGAATAAGGGTGATTAGGTATGTGCTAAGTTTCAGATTATGTTTTATTGAAATATTTTCCTACTATCTGTGTCTGTTTGCCAGGGATGAAAGTTAAAAGATAACGAATAGCTGCAATGTTGATGGAAAAGAAGAGAACGCAGGAGGAAGGTTAGAGTCTGTCTGCTTAATAGTAAGTAAGAGTAGACTGACATGGCCCTGAAGGACAATTCTTGATGCCTGAGAACAGCAGCAAGGAATGGTCACAGGAGTGAATTATCCTGATAGCCACCGGTATCCCCACCATAAAACCTGTATTGCAACAGCAATATGGAGCAGCCATCAGTTAACCGCAGACATTCCTGGCACATTCCAATAACAGGTAATCATTGATGTTACTGTTAGGGGGGAGGGGGGAAAAACATGAACCTACACCCACGAGGGGAGTAAACTCTTCAAAAGGGCTGACAACAGCAGGACTAGGGGAAATGGATCGAAGTTGAAGGAGGGAAGATTTAGGTTGGATGTTAGGGGGAAGTTCTATACAAGGAGAGTGGTTAGGCCCTGGAACGGGCTGCCCAGGGAGGTTGTGGATGCCCCGTCCTTGGATGTGTTTAAGGCCAGGTTGGACAGGGTCCTGGGCAACCTGATCTGAATGTGTGTGTTTGGTGGCCCTGCTAGGCAGGGGGGTTGGAACTACATGATCCTTGAGGTCCCTTCCAACCCGGGTGATTCTGTGATTCTGTGATTCTGTGATGTGAGTTTTGTGACACTGGTGTAGGACATGCAGCCAAGGAAGCCAACTGACCCAGCATTTGAGGAGGTGTCTTTCTTCAGAAAGTCTGATTCAATCCTGGCTCCTCAGACCCAGTGGGAGTGCTGGGTAAGTACATGTCACCCTGTGTTTTCTCCCCCTGAAGTCCAGGAGTGCTTTTTTAGGAAGACAGAGCCTGTGGGATGAGGAACACAGACACGGTCTTGGCTGTGAGCTGAAGATCTTGGTTCTGGAACCATTGTTCTGAAGCTGCTTTGAGGAGACAGGCGGGGCCTGGCTCATTTGAGGCTCCAAGATGGGCATCTTCAGTGGCATGGGCAGAATGTGAGCAGAAGCCATGATAAAGAGCAATCACAACATAACAGGATATGGAAGCACAGAGGGTAAGGGTTTTTACACAGCCTAGATGATGGTAAGATGCAGGCTCCATGACAATGCAGTTCGATTGAAATTCCAGCCTGTTTGTATTCTCAGTGTCAAGGACTTCCTTTCTTCATTCTTGTTCTACTATTGGTTTAAATATGTCTTTCATGTTCTACCATAAAAAAATGTCATTAGTGCATTATTACCTTTGTTTGTTAGTGAACAGAACTATTGAATGGTGCTGTGCCCAAGACTGCATTTTGAGAGATTCCCCTTGTAAGCAGCATCCCAGGAGATCACCTCCTAAGGACAGCCCACTGCTTTCTTTGTTTTAGAGATTTTCATATTTACCTTACATTCCTTGAACTAATCACCCTTGACTGAGGCTGCATAATAAAATACATGACCATTAAAAAAGTCATGAAATTTCAGCTTCTGCAAGCAGGCTATGATGATGGAACATCCTTTCAAAAAAGCAAGTCTGCTGGCAATTCTATTGATGTTTGCACTAAATGTGATGGAATTAAGTAATTAGTAGAATCAAAAATATTAGCATGATCTATATAACATCCAGTAGATAACGTAATTTCATTTTCTGAGTATAGAGACTTTGGGCTTCTTTGTTTTACAGTAACTAAAATAGATACTAAAATCCATAAATTTATGAACTAAAATAGAAAGAGGAAGAAAACAATGATTCAGCTGTGATAAAAGAATACTTGCACAAAGGATGAGGGTAGAATTCAGTGCAGCTGCTACATTTCAGCATTAGCAGGGGGGCAGAGCAGCAAACAAAGTTATGCTTTGGTGCAGTCAGCATCTTGTCACATGTTAAAGAAACAACAAACCCAATTCAAAGGTGTGCACAATAGAGAACACACCTGAGTACTTCTTAATGATGGCAATATTTGCAAGCAATACACAATATATGAAGCAGATCTTTTCCATCAATATTTTTCTGAAGTTTCAGCACGTGCCCTGTGATAGATGCACTGCCTGAAATGTGCTATTTTTTTGCAAGTGGCCATGGGTTTTGTGTTTTGGAGGGATGTATGTACAGAAGAAGTGGCAAGGAAATCTCCTGCAATAAGCCGCATAATTGACAAACATTTCACAGATCAAATCTGTTATAAATGTGTACAGACTGTCCTATTGGAGATACCTGCAGAATCCATTAAAATCTCTTTGGAGTATGTTCTTTTGCTCCCAAATAAGTAAGAACCTGAGAGCCTGTAACATAATAATCCAATTTTTTTTTTTTCTTTGTCTGGCAGAGGCAATGAATAGGTAATATAGTGCCTGAATGCTTTGAATGCTAAATATCAAGCTACAGAGAACCAAAGTACTCTCAGATCCACAAGGAACTCCTAAAACAGAATGTTAAAGAGGATGGTTGTACTGCTTAATGGCTTTAACATGCTTTTAATTTTATCCTTTATTTCCATCATAGAAAGACAGGGAAGTCAACGGACTCGTGGTATTGTAAAACTAGTAGAACAAAATAAACTGCCTTTTAATAAGCTCTGTAGAATTGCAGATCCTGAAAAGCCTGATCTATGGCTAAGTTCATATTCTCATATCTGCATGCTGCCTGATCTTTTGTTCTCCTTTGTTTCCTTCTAAATGAAATTTGAATGGTCTCTTAGATTCTCACAGAAATGGACATCCAAAAAAAACAGCATTAGCAGACACCAGGATAAGCTTGTTACAGTGAAGAAAAGGTACTGTGGTGTTTGTAAGGAGTGGTCATGCATCACAAATCTACCCAAGTCTTCAGATAGTTAATAAGCCATGCTGGCAACATAGATCTTTCTGCTTGATACCATCTGCCTGGATTTTCAGAAGGCATTGGAACAGTTGCCTCCCTAGAGGCTACAGAAGAAGATAATCAGATGTGAAGAAATGTCCAGAGGATGGGAATGAGGGAGAGGAACAAACAATTGCCTTTCACAGTAGAAAGAATCACATGTTGTGTTCCACATGGCTCTATGCTGAAGTCTGCATTGCTCAACACAGGTCACAATGATCAGAAAACTGTAGAAAAGGAATGAAAATGTTTGCTGATAACAGTGAATTAGTCAGTGATATAGACTATAGATGATTGCAGACTCAGAACTTCTGACCCAGTCACTTAATGACTAGGCAACAAAAGTTCCCTGTCAGGAGATGCAAAGGGAATGCAGACAAGATGCCAGCAATCACTAGAGAAGGAATCAAGAATATGTGAGAAAAATATCCCTTTGCTGTTGTATAAACACATGACATGCCTGCAACTTCCAGAGCGTTCGTAGTTATGCATTCATCTGAAGAAAGATAGAGAAGTATGGTAAAATACACACAAATTAGTGCAAGCATGTGCATTAGCAAGTGTGGTTACTGATACGAAACAGTTGCAGTAAACAGAACAATTGAATAGATGAAGGCTTTTGTCAGTAAAAGCACTAAAAAAAAAAAAAAAAAAAAAAACCCATGAGAAAATAAGGATTGTTCTGGAAAGGTGAGTAGGAAATTTTTTTTCAGTATAAAATATGAAAAATCAAATAAAAATGAGATGCTAGCTTCTGAGAAATAATAATAAAGAGCAAAGTCTTAATTCATGTAATTGACCAGTTAACTGGTAGAATTTGAGACATTGTGGATGCTGAAAATGTACCTCAATTTAAAAAAAAAAAAAGTTTGAAAGAAAGGACACCAAGGTTTATTCAATACGAAACCACAGCATTTGGTTTAGGAAACCCTAGAATGACTCTTCACCAGAAGCTCAGAAAATATTTTGGAAAGGCTCTGTGCAGGATTCTTATAACCTTTTTGGGACACTCGGTGCTTGCTCTTGGAAACAAAGCACAGGGCCAGGTAAATATCTGATCTATATATATTATCTGTATAGATAATATATATAGATAATACACATATATGATCAATATATATTGCTATAGTTTGAATTAGGATTATAAACTAAGAGCTTCCTGTGGAATGCTCCTGGAATTTCTGGGTTGTGCCATCCCTTCTGTGCACGTGTAACCAAGCTGCTGGCATGGCTGCTGTTTTCAGAGAAACATCAAACCTGCTGTGCACCTGGACCCAACATCTCCAATATTCTGTGAATGTCCATGTCAACCCTACATGCTCAACTGCATGCTTGTCATCAGATATACAGGGAAATGAGCTGCTGCACACCTAAAAATCCGAGATGAGTGTATCTCTGCATCTGACCAGACGAGATTTCCAAGTGAGAAAGATGATATATTCATGAGAAAACAGAAGGATGGTAGTTGTACTCAGAATATCACTTTAATCTGGAGTGAATGAGGCTTCTCTGACTTGAAAGACTGGTTTTATATCATTTAGTGGTTGTTTTCATTGTCTGCAAATGAGCTGTCTTTTCTCTGCTTGGTGGTAGGTTCCTAGGGTTTAGTTTGGTTTCTTTTCTTTACCTTGCCAATTTTAGGTGGTTCAGGTCATGAGAACAGGCTTATACATCTGCATTTTTTGCCAAACTCATCTTTCTGGTCTGTGTTATACATGTGAACAAGGCTCACGAAGGGTAGAGGTGTGGCTTGGTAGTGAAGTAAACCAAGATACATAGGGTCTTAATCATCTTCATTTGGCTTAGTTAGTGTTTGCTTTTTATTTCGACACAGTTTTCAAAGTCCGCTGACCTCTGAATAATACAGGCTTGCAAGTGTGTCTATGAAATCTCCATACCTTTCAAATATTTGCAATTCCTGAGGTATTTAATGTGTCCTGTTATCAGAAATACATTTATCATGGATGTCATTTGCTAACGCTGTCCTGTTGTGATTCATTTCCTTGCTGACTAACAAGTTACTTAGCTGAATTTCTTCAATAAGAGCAGTGCAGTACTCCACTCCGAGCAGTTCCTGGTCACAAGTGTGCTCAATTTCACTACCAAACACTTCCAGGCTCTACTAGCCTCACACATCAGCATAAACTTACTGGGACTTTAGCATTCTCTGTAGAGTGAAGGAATCTTTTTCTTTCTGCCTCACGTATTTTCTCTTAATTATTCTTGTATGTTCTTTCATCAACGCAATACCAACATGAGTTCTGTGGGATTTTCTCCAGATATGTGCATTTTCCTCAGGAAAAAGTATTTTTTTTCTCTTAGGCCTGGTCCACTTCCTACAGCTCATTCTTTCTTCTCTCAAATGTCTGTAAGAACTGATGAGTTTTCTACCAGCCATCCAGAAACTTGGGCCTTTTTCTTCATTTAAATCCTAGCAATATTTGTGTCTATTCCTTAGAGGTCATTTGTAGATCAAGGTAACTGCGTTGTCTCTTGTCTGCATATCTTCTACATTTGCAGTTGAGTAAGGGAGGCCTGTTTCTCAAAGTTCTTTTCTAGGCCTCCATAAGGTTACATGCTGTACTTTCTCATCTTTTAAGCTTTCTCCCTGAGAACTTGGCAGCAGAGAAAACAAACCTTTCTCCAGAATATTTTTGAGGTGTTTGTTTCACAATTCACCTATCCAGGGCTGGCCTAGACTGTTGCCTTTGCTGTCACTCTCATTCTGTCTGACTTTAAGCTTTTTGCAGATGCACTGTGATTTTCATGCATCTCACAACCAAACATGGAAAGTTTCCTTACTGTTCCTAATATGACTTCCTACTTTTGTGAGGAGGTTGATGCTTTTGCCAGCTGCTGCATGACAACAGATAAGCCTTCTGGGGACAAGGTGAACCAAATCTTTCTCTGCTCAAGCACAGTTCTGCTCCCTCAGCACTGGTGCCCTCCATTTGCTCCATTCCTGCCACAAGGCTGCTCCCAGGGCTGCTTATGAGGCAGCCCAGATGCCTGCAGCATTTCTCCTGGTTCCACGTGCCCAGGAGCGAGCAAGCTTTCCTGCATACCCTCTGCTTTCAGCAGTCAGCCCTGTGTAAGAATTCCAACACTAAAAAGCTGGGCCTGCATTGGTTTCAAATGCTTGACTTCTCTGAAAGGAAGCATTATACTTGTGAATACACTTTCATTGCAGATTCCTTTCATTTCATCGCTGACAGCCTAACAAATATAGTTCATCAATACTGAACAGACTAATTCATAGTTTACGAAGAATCATGTTTTAGACGGACAAATATCCCAAATGACAAACGTGCTGCTAACAGCCCCTCCTATTTGTGCCAGGTCTTTTGCACAGCCAAGGCCCCACCAGGGCAGTGTGGGGATAGTGTTTAAGGCCTTTTCTGAAGGTAATTATTTTTGTGTAATTATTTTGAGTATTTTTGAATGTTATTACTTCATTTGGTTGGGTGCATGTTATGGCCTATGAACACTAAGGATTTCATCCTCTCACTTCTTTTGTGTGCATTATTCATCACAAACCTGTCTACTGCAAACTTCTTTGTTCCACCCTGACAGTGATCTCAGGTGCTTTTTCACAGGTAAAGCTGATTTTTTAGCAATGCTTATGATAATACACTTTCTGTTACTATTTTCTTGCCACTTTTTGAGTTGGTCATTCATAATGGATTATGGTAGATGGTAACTAAACGTAGTC